AAGAGCAGCCCGAGCGACGGCAGCAAGGGCGGCGGGAGCCCCTCCGGCAGCGCCGGCGGCGGCACCGGCGGCACGGCGGGCTCCACGCGCCGCTGCGCGGGCCCGACAGGCTCCGTGCAGCTGTCGTCCAGGAGCGCGGGGGAGCTGGTCGAGAGCCTAAAGCTGATGAGCCTTTGCTTGGGTTCGCAGATCCATGGCACTGCTAAGTACATTATTGATCCTCAAAACAGTCTGTCGTTTTCCAGCGTGAAAGTGCAGGAGAAATCATCGTGGAAAATGTGCATCAGCTCCAGCGGCAGCGCGAGCCAGGCCCCGTCGCTGGGCAGCCTCAAGTTCTTTTCCGACCGGATGTCAGACACAGCCAACGAGTTGGAACGGCTAAAGAGCAGGAACTTGAAAAATAACGTGCTCCAACTACCTCTGTGCGAAAAGACGATATCTGTGAACATCCAGCGGAGCCCCCAGGAGGGGCTGCTCTGCTCCGCCACGCAGCCCAGCTGCTGTCACGTCATCTGACAGCGCCGGCCCGAGAGCTCCCTCTCCCCAACAGCCTCGTTCTTCCCCTTCACAGCTGTGACCGTCACTCAACTCCCCTCTGTTGTCTTAATATTTTTAAGTGGGCTTTGAGCAGTTATTTATTACCTTTTAATTTTGTGTTTGCTTGATGGTATGACAATGCATGGTCTTTGCATGCTGCTAGCCAATATGTTTTTCTTTCCCGACAGAGCAGACTATTTTATTGTGTAATTTTTACATTTATAATTTTACTATGGAAGATCTGGATTGAGTATCTGGATCCTAATGTAAATGGAGCACTTAGAAGTTTGATGTTCTGCACTTAAACTACAGTAGGAGAAGCTTTTGTTTGCTTGTGAAATGTTAATTCTTGTTCTGACCTTCTGTGATATCTAAAATATGTGATATGTGGCATAATTCTATGTGTCTGAAACAGAACCAAAGCAATAATGTTTTGATGCTGAAAACTCCTGAGGGAGCTTTCAGATGTTCCAAGGCTTGTACAAAGCAAAGATGCACTGAGAAATTAGTGATCTTGAAATATGATTTTAAACCCACACCTATTTGTCTTAAGCTATGATATGGATAAAGTTGTGGCTCAAAAATCAAACTGAAAAGATCTTGTTTTGCTAGAGGCATTTTTTTTTTCTCTAAAAAAGCAAGTAGGTTTGTAAGGCAGCTTTTTCCCATAGAAATATGTTAATATTACAAGCAGACAATCTTCTTTTTTTAATATAAAAAAGATAAATTATTAAGTCTACTTCTGAGTTTTTGCATTCTAACTGAGAATAAAGTATTTGTATAAATTACTTCGGTTATTAGTATATCACGACACTTAACTGTAGTGTTTTAGCTTTTTTCCCTCTACTGCTCGTCACCCCCTGCTCCAGGTTTTCAAAAGGCAATAAGGGATGAAAAACCTTTAGAGAGTTGGATGCAAATTGGCAGTGCTATTGTCATTTATATTTTGCTTCATTATTAAATTTGACTCTTTTAGACACTTAATACTGCTGTTTCCCATGTGTGCACCATTTATTTTCTCTCAGTAACCACGTTTTCTCATAAAATTGGTTGGAAACAGCAAACATGTATTTATTTTGCAGCAATTAGCTTTTTAAATTTGGTTTCCCTTGCCACGGCAAGGTCTTGCTTTAGAGTATTTCTGCACAAAAGGCTCCTTTTGACCAGATGAACTAACCTTAGTGGAGTTTGATTACCTAGAATAAAATATATTGCAGATCCCGAGTTTGGGGAAGGCAGGACCCTTCCGTGTTCCCAGGCCGTGCAAAAAACTGGGGCCGTGGGGGAGCAGAGAGAGGAGCTCCGAGGAGAGCTGCGGGGGGAAGCCGTAGAGCACGTTGGAAATTCTTGAGCAGGGCCGGGAATCAGATGTGGGGTTCGCAGAGGGTGAGCGTGACGTGGAAGTCACAGAGAAGTTTATAAAGGGCATTGGCAATAAACGTATTTGTTGCAGCTTTTTTTTTCTTTTCCAAGTATTGTAAATATTCTTTCCTGATATTATGTATAGCCTTGGAATGGCACCTTTTAACTAACCCCAGATGTACTTTGTTTCCACTGTTTTTATATACAAATGTATATATGGTGCTCACTTTAGACCGGCAGTGTTGACCATTTATGCTGCATAGTTGTATTATATTAGAGCCTTATTAGTCGTGTGCGGTTGGTTGAGCCTCTGCGCGGGCTCAGATGTTAGTTTGAGTGGTGCCCCTCACCCCGTGTCGGTAGGTGGATGACTGTGCATGTGGCGTGTGTCGTATCCTGTTGTCATGTAAAAGGAAGGGCAAGAATAACCACTACATTAAGATAATATTGGACCAAACTATTTAGAGCAAGTAAAGAGTTTCTTGTACCCCTTAACGTGTCTTTCAAAGTTGCATATAGTTACCGTATACCATATAAATTAAATATTGTGGAAGAACAATTAGTCTTGTATTTTTCTGTATGTGTGTATATATATACATATATATATAAAAAATAATGTACCTCTAGCAACTTGCTCTGTATTTAAGATGTGACAATCTTGACACAGAATTTTAAAAGTAGCAGTATAAATAAGTGGAATTACTGAAGAGAACAGAAATATAAAACTTCTCACCAAGAAAGAATCCATGTGTGTGTGTTAAGAGGGTACAGAAATATCTGCTGGTCTTACTGCTTCCAGCAGCGTTTGGTTTTTTCATTGTATAAACATTCATGGTGTGCGAAAATGGAAAATCCAGTTAATAAAAGTGATACTTGACTGACGCGTAACCCGCACCCCGTGTGTCAGTGCCCTTGGTGACATCCCACTCGGGCTGCGCGCCGTCAGCGGCGCTGCTCTGCGGCCCCCGCCCGCTCCCCCAGAGGAGACCTGCAGGCTTGGCTGGCTTGAAACAGTGAACGTGGGGTGTGGGGACACGCTTATTTGCAGACTTTCAGTTAACTTGATGCCATTCTGCTACGCAGAGAACATCAGAGCTGCTCATTTTAAAAGAAGTTGTCACAGTTGGCACCTGCTAAGATGCCTTTTTGTTTCATGTGGAGGTGGTTTCCTTGGGCTTTCCTCACTAGGCACAATGGTTGGGCACAGGCTGGTTTAGGCGCTCTGCAAAACCTTGAGTTTGCGGGAGTCCCATGGTGAAGATAGAACTTTACCTCATGCAAGGTAAAGTGATTAATAGATAAAAAGGCTGTTAGCATCAGTGTTGATAAAACGCTCGGTGCAGAACATGGAGAGCACCCAAAACTGCCATGCTGTCCCCACCACCACTTGCTCACTCACAGGCCTGGTGTTGGGCCTCAGCTTGTCCCTACAGGTAACATTTTGCTCTGCTATTTCCCAGCCGTGTGAGAAGCATTTCGAGGAGGGGAGCAGGGGCAGAGCCAGCAGGGGAGCCAGTGCCTTTCCCAGGAATGCGGTGAGTGGCGCAGGGCAGGTGCCCCGTCCCTGTGCCGCAGCAGAGGGCTCTGCGTCCCCCCCCAGCACCGCGGCTGCAATGGAAGCGCCAGCGCCAGCTGCCTGCCTGAACCCGGCGCGTGGCCTCGGAGCCCAGAGCCGGGCCAGCCAGAGCCGGGCCAGCCAGGAGGCTTCGCAGCACCCGCCGCTGCCCTCGCCCTGCTCAGGAGCGTCTGCACCTCCCGCCGGGGGGCCCTGTTCTCAGTGCAGGCCGGGCCGAGGGCTGGGACCTGAAAGAGCCTGCAGCAGGGGACCCGCTCTGCCTGCCTCGAGCGCTGCAACTGCTACTGTAACTGGTGTCAATGAGGAACACAGTGAAATCTGTTTGGTACAACAGAAAAAGGTGATTCCTCTTCATTTTCCCATATGGTAGACAAAGTACATCATTACCTGAAAGATGCAGCTTTATATGATATTCTACAAGACCTGAAAAGCACATGGGTTTTTTTGGATGAATTTCACTAGGGTCTCAGACATGGTGTGCTAAATATTTCTAGCAATTTCTGCAGGCCTTAGTGTAACGTTTTTGTACTTCTCTCTCAATACACCCTTTTGAGCAGTACTGAGGAGAGCAGAGCCCCGGTACACAGACAAAGAGCAGCTTCCAGCGGGAGAGAAGAGGATTTCAGTTCAGCACAAGGCTCTGTACACAGGGAGCCCTTCCTGCAAACTGAACGAAGGCTCCTGGGGACAGAAATGCTCCCCTCACTGTGCTGAGCGCAGCCAGGCGCTTCCCCAGCGTGCAGAAAACCCGCAGCGTCTAGGACATAAAGGAGTCCCCTTCTGCTCGCTCGGCAGAGAGCAGGAGGAAGGCAAGGACCACAAAGGCTACCATCAAGTCAGGTTTTCAAAAATCACTGCTGCTCGCTCTTGATCATCATTTCTCACCTAAGCCAGCGGAGACAAGACCCAACCCCCTTTTCCAACCAGCTCAACAGATTCCGCCAGGTATCGCCATGAGCAAAACAGGGCCACGTGACTCTCCAAAACCAATACGAACCACAGGATCCCTTCAGAGTGGCCATTTTAAGCTTCTGAGGATGTAAGCCACACTTTCCTCTCGAACGATTCCCCCAAAAACCAGGCAGCGTGATCAAAATTGTAACAAATGCAGGTACTGCTGACCAAGTGAGCACGGAACCGTTCTGTCTCACTTCTGCTGTGGAGAACACAGGACAGAAAACTGCAACAAGCCAAATGGGCAAATACCTGCATTTATAGGGCCCCCGGGCCTCCCCAGGCAAACGCCAGCAAGGGTTGTACATCAGTTAGATCTACCAAAGACAGCGGTCACAGCAGGAAGAAGTGAACTGTCCCAAGGTCATAGACAAACAATGGGGATTTTGATCTTATTATTCACAGAAAGCAATGGAACATTTGGAAAATTTTGTGAAATTCAAGAAAAAAAACTAAGACAGTCACAACATACATAGGAACAGGTATATAGCATCAGATTTAATTACTGTTTTGCTAGTGTCAAGTTATGGATCCAGAAGACCACATAGTTTAAAAGAGCCAGGAAACGGATACCAAAAGCTAGATTAAATTAAAAAATATCAAATAACTGCTATTTTTTTCTTATAAATTAATGATTTCAATCTGTTTCCTACTGAATGCTTTTTTTTTTTACCCAGCTTTGGAAAATACTTTAAATGGCTTTATTTAGATAACCAGCACACTAGAGCATACAATGCATACTGTATAGCATTAGTGTTCAAATATCCCTCAGGAAACAATCATACATTGAGCTGCATAATATGGAAAACATTTATATAGATCTGCTAGGTGTAAACAGTGGCTAAGAAGTGATCTTTGAGAAAAAAAAAAAACATAGCGGACTGATTACTTGTAATATGAGAAGGAAAGGGGCAATAGGGCTGGTACACAATGAATTAAGTACTCATGTACCTGGATTTTTTTTTCTTTTACAAAATTACAGCTCAAAAGCACAGTTAGCTTCTGGATGCTTAATGTAAGACCTGTTTTGACTCAACTGGTTTGGCTCCGGCAGGTTTGGAGCCCTCGCCTAAGCAGGAGTGCTTGAGGTGGTGCCGCTTCACAAACGGTGGTGAAAAGGGGTGAGCGAGAGCGGGAGAAATCACCAGCAGCACCAGCAGCACAGCCCGGGAAGGAAGAAAAGGTAATGGTAAGTGCTCAGGACGAGTTAAACATGGTCTGAGAGCAGGAGAGCTTTGGAGCCATCAGGATAATAAAACTACACACACACACACACACACACCCCAAGCTTTGGTATAAAAACAAAACCACAGGCTTATTATAGGCACGGCCTGTACCAACAACACAGCTCTAGCCCAGGTATCGCTTTGCCCACTGGAGGACTCACTCAGCAATTGATCCCTTTGGGATGAGTGACATCCATGACCTCCCTACGCCGGGATCACAAACCCTCTCCCTCAGCCCCGCGAGCAGGGCAGAACCAAGGCGGGTTCCTGCCTCCCGCCTCGGCCGTGACTGCGCTCAGGGACCGCCAAGGACAGCGCGAGCTGCGCGGGAGCCCCGCGTCCCGTCCCGTCCCGTCCCCGCTGGCACCGCCGCGGGGCTGCGCGGGAGCCCTCGCGGGCAGCTCCGGGGACACCTCGGAGGCTGCGCTTCAGGAATGCTGCCTTGGAACCACAGGCTAAAGCCCACGGTTTTTGATAGGGAATGTTTCTTCAAGGCAAATTCAGATCAAAATACGGACTCAAAATTCTGAGTGCAGTAAAGGACTGTGATAACAGAATCTCAGACACAAAAGTCGTTAAAAAAACGACTCATTTTTCCTTCTAGCAGATATTAGCTCTGAACGTATGAATGGGATTTGCTTGGTCAGCGGGAGAATGTCCCTCCTGGTCAAGTGGTGGGCGCATTCTCAAGGTACCCTGTTCTGTAGAGATGTAAAATTTCAGTTCACCAAGAAGCGCCAAACATACAGAATGTAGAATTTAAATATTTAGTCTGAAAGATTCCTTTATATATGTATATATATTTATGTTTTAAAGGGATTTTTAGAGCTCAGTGACCTGCTTTTAACTCTCCAACAGCCATTGCGTTTCCAAGGCCTTCGCCCACTGGATGTTTTGGGGATGTGCGTTTTTATCTGCATTCTCATCCCACACCTATAAGGGAAGTAAAACTAGTTTGTGATACAAATATTTATATGCTTCTCCATAGCGACACTGGAGAAAAAAAAAAAGGCTTCGCTAAATGCTGGAATACAGATTCCTCTTCTGCATCCTGATTCATTTACTTAAATAAATTTCTGAATAAAACTACAGCAACTTAATTAAAAACTACAGCAACTTAATTATAAGTGACTTCTACCCTAGTACAAAAACATTAGAAAGATACAGAACACAGCAACTTAACTCAGCTCATGACTCATGACATTCAAACCTAATTCACTTACGTTAGTGAATTATTTGAGGATGACTTTCTCAAGTTCCTGGCATTGCAGTAGTCCTGGGATTGATGATGAAAAGAGAAAACACTACAGAAAACTGGGGAGCTATTGGTTAAGGAAACACTCTTAAAATAGCTTCGCCTGCTGCCTTGGCACTCACAGGCCCATAACCGTCCCAACGCCACCCCAGGATGCAGCAGGAAATAAGTGAACGTGCCCCGCAACTCGATCTTTCGTTCCTCTTTATTAATTTCCATGACACCAAAACACACTTTGCAAACCTGGCAACACCAGGCTCCTCTAAACGGCACCACTTCTGCAAGCAGCGTGTGGTGGCACCATTAGACAGAACACACCACTTTCTTTGCCAAACTCACGTGGAAAAAAAATACATTTTTTTACTTTTCCTGTGAAAGGGAACATTCCTTTTTCTTTAAATGGGAAAATACTTTTCTAGGACAACATATGGGACAGGGAAGACATTTTTTTTGTTGTTGTTACTGAGAAAGGCAACGCGTCACAGTTCTCACACAGATGGCCCCAGGAAGCTCCCTAACACACCTGTAGGGCTGAGCTAAAGATCTACCAAAATGACAACTTCTGTTTTTTGTATTTTTCTACTTATTTTAAAAATAGAGGAAAAAGGAAAGCACAGGCCCCCAAGGCTGCTGTCACCGAGCGCGCCGGTGCCGGGCGCTGACCCGGGCACACATCCCGCCCGCGGCCCCGGCGAGTTCCTGCGCTGCTCCGGAGCACCAGGAGGAGCTCGCGTGTGCACACACACACCCACTAAAGCCGTGTGTTCAACCAAGCACCTTATCGCACCGCGCTGTGCAAGCGAAACAACTGCAAACGCAGGCTAGCACGGATGTCACCGTGCAAAGGCACAAACATTAACAGGCCCACAGGCTGCAGCACAAAGCAGCGAGTTGCAGAGGGCCTCGCGCTCGGGGTCGCCCCGCAGACACACGCAGGTGCCCGGGAGCTGCTCTGCCCGTGCTCCCACCAGGCCCGGCTCGGCAGGAGGCTGCTGCTCACACGGTGCCTTTCTCCAGTTTCCACACTGTTTACAATATATTTAAATTGTTCTTTTCTAGCACTGCTCAGTCACGATAGTTTCTAGCAACTGAGAGAACTGTATCAACTTAATCATTAAGTACCAGCCAGTTAAGAGGTAAATTAACACCTGATTGAAAACTCAAAAAGCCTCTTCTACATTTACTGTTTATTCTTTTTGTATAGAAGGACAAGAACATATTTAATGGCAATTTGCTACTGCTGATTATAACGGTGGAAGGTTGTAGTCCCCTTCTCCACTACTGCAGCCCCGTCTTCCAGGACTTCCGGAACCACACGGCTGCACAGAATTCCCATAGGGAAGTATGCCCTGACTCTACACTTGAATGGGAACCTGTTACGGCAAATAGTGTTAAAAAAAAAAAAAGTTCTTTTCTTTTACATATGTCTCATTCATGACAGTATAGCAACTACAAAAAACGTTAAGTGTTAATGCCAGAATAAGGTTGCAAAATTAGTTACCTACGGAGTCAGAGAATACTTGCACAGTGACATAATGGATGCTCGGGGTCTTTATTTGTGATTGATAGCAGCAGGATGCGCCTCAGCAGACAAAGCAGCTCCATTCGCAGTAGATTTTTTTCCCTGACCTGCTTCATATTGTGTCCGATTTAAATTGCAAGTATTAATTACTATTCATTAGAATGTCCTTACTGCATTAGTTGCCCTTTGCTGAGTCGTTCCATCACTAGATGGTACAAAGATGTAAGAGCCATAGTGAAAGTCACATTAGGTATCGTAACAGTTCCTACAAAGCGAGGAGCACGCACCGTCACGCAGCGGGTTGAACCGCCCTACGAGGAGCGCCCGCTCACACGTCCCTGCTCGCGGCACGACGCAGCCGCGGGACACGAGCTCCCTCCTCCAGGTCGTGCAGTTACGTCTCAGAAGGAACCAT